TTTAGAAGAAAATAAATATTATAGGATATGTTTATTGACGCACCTGTTTTTGAATATACTAATAAAGATCTGGCAAAAGCCAGGGGACCAACAAAGTTTGGATTTCGCAGTTGGTAAATGGCCTCAAGGGCATTAACCAAGAACATGGAAAAATTCATATTGGAAAATTTTTCCTCCATTAGTCCTTCAAAAAATGCAAGCAAGCATCCATTTCTTTCCTTAATCCAATCTTTAATAAGAAAAAAAAATCATTAAACAACATAAGAAAAATTTTTATTCAAATTTTAATTTTTACATATATACACTTACTAAAACAATTTCCTTTCCGTTTTTATAAAAAAGGAGGGGGTCTAGCATTGATTCTACACAAAAAGGGGCACACATTATTAATAACGGAGCAACAACTGTATATGGACATTGCTTTTCTATTGGGCAAGTATATATAGTAAATACTGCATGTCAAAATCATGGAGTTGGGTGCGTGGGTGGGGGTGGGGGGGGGGGTGCTCTTCCTCTTTTTGAGGTCAGACATTGCTTTTAATGTGAGAAGTGAAAGTTCAGTGCCACAGTGAATGTTTCCTTGTTAGTATGCAGCTTACTTGACGGGTCGAAATGTTTCAAAGCGTCATCTTTGTAAACTTTTCCTGCCTCCACACTGTCCTTGTAAATGTCTTTCGACTGTGTGCTGCCTGTATAAAAATGATTGTAAAAAAGGAATTCTTAAAACACACACACACACACACACACACACACACCCTCACACACACAAATAAATAAACACCACCACTACCCCTCTCCCCAAGAAAATAAAACAAAAGAAAAATATAAACTAAAAAGTATTAATTCTTTTAAAAAATCTTCATCAATAAATGAAAAAAAAAAAAAATACATGAAAACAGATCACAACTGTGTTATCTTCTGATTCCTATTTCAATACCTATGGCTTTTGTCAGTTCCTCTAACTCGTTCTGCGTAAATTCATCTCTTTCATTTTTTTCCATAACTTCCGCCAATAGGGTGCTCTTTTTTTCTCCTATTGGATGTTTCCTCGAGTAACAAATGACTGATAAAGTGAAGTTTTTGCAATGAATAAGGATAGAGAGAGCATCCTTCATCATGTTCATTATTAATATTATCGGATGGTGCAAGGGATAGGGTTGGTAGGGGGTGTAAAGTCGTTAATAAGCATTTGTTGACGGAGAAATTTAATATCCATGTCTTAATAGCTTTGTTAATGTGCTAAGCCCCCCCCCCCCCCCCCCCCCGGTTCCGACGCCTATGTACATGTATGGTCTAACTAAAAGTAGCTTATTCGTAAAATTTAAATTAAAAATAAGAGTTAATAATTAAAATATTTCAGAAATACCAACGTTATTAATCTCTCCCCCACCCCCCCCCCCCCCCACCCCTCAATCCCTTTTCAAGGATCATGAAGAAAGCTGATACATGTACTTGTATATATTTAATATTTAACTTTATTTTTATTTACTTCAGTGTACTTTATACGCCCATCACACAGAAAGTTTGCATATGTGCTAAGTACACCCATGTCTTGTAGTTTTTAATGACTGCTACCCGGATTCTCTTTCCATCAATTTTCATTAAATTTTGTCCATCTTTCGGGCAAAAACTTGCATGTGAGCACCCACACTTTTTTTCAAATGGCATTCTTTAATATAAATCCATGCATGAATTAATGTTTTGCATTTTAATATACACATTTAATATACAGTGCAATTTTCATAAAAAATTCTATTACATTTTAGCTGTACATGCGCGCCATACAGTGCTTTTTGACAGATAATTAAACATAACGGTACTTTTCATTGGTCTATCTTGATCTTCATCAACTATGCGCTTTAATTTCAGAAGTTCTAAACCGAAAGGACGTGCATCAATTGAATTGATGCAAATCAACAAGATTTATCCTTGTTATTAGCAAAAAAGGTAAGGGAATGAAATATGTACGTACCTATATGGTGTCTATATCTCGCTACACCTCAGAAACCGGACATGGAATGACAGGTGACTCGCTTTATATAGTATCTAGGTATGTCAACTAACAATCCCTGACTCTCGTGCTGATGCGCTTTTGCACTGTTTTCATTTTATTTTGGCGGCAAAAAAAAAAAAAAAAAAAAAAAAAAAAAAGATCACATTTGGTCAGTAAAATCTGTACACTATAGAGGCTATTGTCCACCATATGGGAGAAATATAACCAAAAGGTGGGGTGTGCCTAACCTGTGCAATGACGAATATTTTTTAAATCACATGTTTCACTAAATAATGTTTGGCAACACCACTATGTTTGGCAATTCATTCTCACAAATCAATCAATCAATCAATAGGTATAAATTATAATGTTTACGAGCTTACATAAGTCAAAACAAATTATTGCTAGCATGGCGCACCTTACTTTCTACTTCCGGTCATTTACTTCCGCCCAGATATTTAAACCAAAATTTAATTGGCCAAATATTTCACATAATGTAACAAATCTGAATACAAGAAAATTGTGTACAATAACACCTTTAAAGGTGCTTAGACACAGATTTGAACTTAATATTTTCTCAAGTTTTCTGTATAATATCACGAATTATATATTGCAATAGCATTTCACAGGAAAATATAATTAAAAACTTATTTTATCTGGAAACTATTGGAACTACGAATTCCGGGACGCGTTTGATTAACACATCTTTGCACTTACACAAATTTTAACTTTATCCTTAGTATTTAAGAAAAGAAGCGATTTTGTTATATATTAATGAAAAATATTGCATCTATAACTCTATCCTTAGTATTTAAGAAAAGAAGCGATTTTGTTATATATTAATGAAAAATATTGCATCTATAATCCAGAAAATTCAGAGTAGAAATGTTCGAAAGCAAAACCAACTCACAAGTATTGTCAGTCCGTGCTCTGTGATGTGTACAGAGTTTAACAAATGGAACACACCCGTGAAACGTAAACTGTTTTTGTAAACAGGGCACGAGCTCTGTTATTGTTTATGTTTACGATTCACCGGGTGTGTTCCAATTGTTAAACTCTGCACACACCACTGAGCACGCACTTACAATATGTGAGTGGGTTTTGCTTTCGAACATTTCTACTCTGAATTTTCTGGGTTATAGTTTTACTATTTTTCATTAATACACAACAAAATTGCCACTTTTCTTAAGTATTAAGAATAAAATTAAAATATGTGAAAGCGCAAGGATGTGTCAATCCAACGCGTCCAGAAATTCGAAGTTTTAATAACCTCGAAATGAAATAAGATTTTTATTATATTTTAGTATGAAATGCTATAGCAACATATAAGTCATGAAATTATACAGAAAATTTGAGAAAATATTAACTTAAAATCTGTGTCCAAGCACCTTTAAACTCTATCGATATAATACAAAAGCCATTCGAACACTCTCGCTAACCGTAACACCTGACTGAACAACAGGTAAAATGGTGAGAGCTGGCCAAGTTCAAAAATAAGAACGAATACGTATTAATAATAAATTTGCCTAAAAACTATATACATATCGAAAATTAATAATGTAATAAGTAAATACTTACCACGGACCTGTCTCCGTGCCAGTCAAGACATTGCTTGTATGGCTGCTATTTACATGTACTTTAGCTGCTTCAAGTACTGAAACGTGTCTGCAGCTATGCTTCTCTATCGGGAATGACTCAATTGTTCTGCTCGGCTAAGCTATGTTGCAAGGGCCTATGGGTAGATAGGGCATAGGGACAAAACGCGGGAAATACAAATAATATGTAAATGTAATAGTGATCGTTACAATGATTTAAGAGCTTCTTACTGCATTTATTGAATGCGTATGTGAAAAATATATTTTAGGAGAAAGTGAATATCAAGATACAAAAGTACTGCAAAACTGTTACCAACTTCAACATAAGACTGAAAAACACAAATATCAGAGTCATATAATTTACTTCAGACGTAGGGTTCAATGTTCAGAATCTATTTTTCACAGCTGAATGACGGGCTCCAGTTGTAGTTCTTGTTTGTAACATCCCAAGAGAAATTGACTCCAAGAAATGGAAGATATTTTGTTGTAAGGATACAGAGATAGAGTCATGTTATTATAATCAATTTTAGAACCGTAATGACAAAAAGAAGTAGAAAAATGATGATATGAAGTATAAAATTTGAAAGTATAGAAATAAATTTGCATTGAAAAGTGGGTTGTAGTAATGGATGGAACATCTTTGAACTTAAAACACTAATGTACAACGTAATAGTTTATTTTGTCGTTTCATATTTAATTATATATAAATCACATTTAATTATATATAAATTGGAAGTCTAGACGTATTTATTGTAGTAATGGTGTGTATGTTGTTATATAAGTTTATAAAGCGTTTGTCCTAATTTCCAGCACTTTCTCAAAATTATTGCAGGACATGTCAATAATCTCGAAGTTCTATATGATTTCAGTTGGAGAGGGCCAAAAAGAATGTATTTGTTCTTAAAATTGTTAAAAAGCAAAATTGATGAACTGAAGTAGAATTTGAGTTAAACATTTATCTCTCTGTGTTGTCTTTTCTCACTTTAATTATCCTGACATTTATTAACTCTTCTTTTTCATTTTACATTCATTGTAAAAAAAAAATGTAAAGCCCTCTCTGGAGTGCTGCATCAATTTTAAATCAATCTGCACTAAAATTTCAGCATGTATAACATACAACATCAGATGACTATCTTGCTTAGTGAGAGGAGCCTTTCTGTACACTTATCTGGATGATTGCCCATCCTTTGAGTTATGTCATAACTGCGGGGAAAAAAATCATTTCTATCAATGTACCAAGTCCGAATTTTCTTATCGCCCAGGAGTTGATTTAAGAGCTCGAAGTGACGAGCGGCGCTTATGTCATAAGCAGTTTACACTTGTTTTAAGTCAGTGATAACTATTTGACAAATAAATTGATTATTTCCTGTCTAATGATTGACTTTTTTCCTCTTATGATGTTTTACCTCTAGGTTCACAATAGATGTGGAAAGCCTAATCCTCAGAATATGAAAATTAAACGGGACACTAGTAGCCCGCCTCTAGCTTCTCAGTCAACTCTTCAGGAAAGCAAAGTTCCTGGCTCCTTAGGTCAGTATGATACTGCTGCTGGAACCAGTATAGAACACCTGGTAAAGGACATAAAGGAAAAGGTCCAGATTGCTAAGGATTTCTGGGTAGAGCTCCCGTACACTATGTGTAACAACGAGCAGATTGCGGCGCAGCCGGAGAATGATACAGACTGCTGGAACGGCAAAGATATAGCCCGGTTTGTAGTCAGATTACCTCCCAAAATATAGATTACTTAATCTGTTAAACACTAAACACAGATTTGTTTCAAAATCTTTAAAGGCAACAAAAGTATTTCAACTACTGAATGAAAAACAAACTTTAAGATAACTGGAAGCAAAAGAATATATGTGATGAAAATAGGCCTGTAATTTTATTGGTCCTAAACTTCCCTATGAGCTAAATTAAGAAAAAATGTATGTATATGAGTTCCATTTCTTGTGCCGAGGGTGATTTTTAATAAGAGATCGATTGTAGTATTGTACGACTAGTTAGATTTTTGCTCCTGACTTTTTTTAACAATACTTTATGTCTGTATTCATGTGGAGATCTTAATCCACTGTTTAAATAGTAAGACTTACAAATTATTAAAATGGTTTAAAAGTTTGACCCAGAAACTAAATATTATAACCTTTAGATAGACAGGTTTCATGTGTTACATGTGTCATTTAAAAAATTGTCCAAGCATGCACATTGCGACATAATTTTTAGAGATTTTCACTGCTATCATTAATTTCTGAACACCGACTACACATTGGGCATAAAATAATTACAATGAATGCAGATTGATTAAATAGAGATGCAAATATATTTTCTGATCAATAACAATTCACATAAGATCCTACGCAATTTGTTGCCAGTGATATTAATTTACAAATGACCTAACTTTAATGATATTTGTTGGGAGTGAATAAATAGGTACACAGTTATACGAATACATATCTTATATGCATCAAACGTTCTGCTGTTCTGTACGTAGATAATGCTTTTGTAAATGTGATATATTATTTTATCAATTTGCACTTGAAATTTTACTAAAGAAAGGAAAACTTCATTCTGAATTTGATTCTTTTTTTGACATTTAAGAAAAAGAATACCAGAAGTTTGCGAAAGCTTCAATAATAATCAAAATTTATACAGAAAGTAAATTTTCTTTATAAAATGATATATCTGTAAGCATATACATGCAAAGAGCTTTTTGTTCGTAATAATACAGTTGTTAATTGAATTTTTGGCATAGGTATGATAGTGTTGTACAGAAAGATGGCATGATGTATCAAATCAACAATCCCGAGGTGAAAGTTGATGTTAACCAGGCGAACTACATCATAGAACAACAGAAGATAGAACTCAAGCTCATCATTTGTAAACTCAACAGTGCTTTCAGAGGCGAGGAGGTTACTTGGGTTAAAACAGGTACAGTAATGGAGATTCTTTTTTTACTACTGGTCATATACATTTTGTATTGTCAGATGTCAAGGTCATACGTTTTACCTAATAAAAAAGAGAAAATGGGCGAATCAAATAAATAAATAAATGGATGTTTTCCAATTCAGTAAGTTTCTGGTGTTTAGACTGATTTACCCCTCTCCTCTCACCCCCACCCCACCTCCCCAATTACATTTAATACATACATACATACATATATATATATATATATATATATATATATATATATATATATATATATATATATATATATATATATATATATATATATATATATATATATATTTACAAAGTTGTGATTTGATACAACTGTGAATCTCAGGAGGAAGAGCTACATTTTGTTGATTAGATTTATATACTAAATTTCAGGTAAATATATACGTTGAAAAGTTTGGGGAGAGGGGCAGGCCCCTGCCCCCCCCCACCCCCCACCCCACCCTCAAGAATGTTCTATGTGCCTGAATGTTATATTCACCTGTGTGGAAGATGGGTGCAAAAGAAATGAATTTCTAAATTGATATGTATCAATTTGAAAATTCTGATATATTTTTAGTCTATGAAGAAAAAATATTTCCTTATGTTTACCAGGATGGTCATGTGCAGACGAACATAACCTAATATTGTTTCTTCAATGATGGATCTCAGCCAAACAGAGAGATAAGAAATATTCAATCATATAATAAAATCAACTATTCAAAGTTTTGGTCGATTTATTACACCTCAAAATTGATTAAGCTGCAGACAAATACAATACATGATTACATCAGACATTCAATTTTTCTCCTTCAAGCTTTGCATATCAAGATTAACATTCGATCCACTTGATGAATAACGCAAGGGCTTGACCTTTTTTTTTGTTTTTATGAATACTCTTAAACCCAGAGGAATGTATATTAAAATCTCGTGAACAGATTTTCTTTTTATGTTCACCATGAACACCATGACGTAATTGTACCGAAATATGAGAATTCTATTTGATCAAAATTGAAAATATTTTTTTAGGAAATATACCATTAACCCAAGTTAGAACAGGTAATTAACTTGCTAATAAAATTAGAACTGTAAATTGTTAGGATATATGTGTCTTCAATGTCTGATAATGATTATTGATTGGGGCAGAATGCCAGACACATGTCCTATTGATACGGAATAAGTTGAGTCGTGTCATGTTTATACACGCATTCCCAGTGTATTTAAGACAGACAGTGACAATTCATCTAATAGTCATTAATCAAACTGGAAGATCTTGTATCTGATACATAACATACACTGTAATTTGTATGGCTCACTATCTTCACAACAGAAGGTTTTTTATTTGATGATTGTTTTTTTCTGCATTTTCAGTTTTGAGGATAATTTTTTATTTGTTGTATTTCTATTTTTGCAGGTTTTTTGTGTGAAGCACAAATAACATTAAATGTTACCAATAAAAAAGTATCAAAAGGTACGTGGCAAATAATATCATTTCATTAGAGATACTAACCTGTAATGAAATATTTTTGACAACAAAAATACAGTTAATTAGGGCCCCGCAGGAATTTGCCGGTGCCCCAAAGTATTCACTCTGTCTGTCCATCTGTCATTATGTCCAACTACAAATTTTCTGTTTTGTTTTTCCTTATAACTTTTTTTAATGATTATTCGAATAAGATTTAGATTTGGTGTGTTGTTATTATAGGCAGTGACACATATTTTGATACCAAGTTGGATTCTGTATATTACCGGCTAGGAGCTTGGGAAGAGGGGTAAATGCTATTTCTTATTTAAGAATGGATTTGTAAAGAAAGATAACTTTTCTTTCTGTAAACTTCTGAAAGCCTACAGTGAAATTATATCCCTTGCTCCAGAAGATCCAGATACAGCCTTATCTTTATCTGTACGTTATGATTAATTTACCCATCTCTCTGCTAGTGAGTTTTTGTTTAAAGTTAAGGTCAAGTCTGAATGATGTTTGCATTCAATGAATGCTGACATTTTATAGTACTCTCAATTCATTCTTAATATACATTTTATAAACGCTATTTCTAATGAATTTTATAGATTTTTAATGCTTTATATGAATACAATTCAAGGATACCTTTAGTATATTGCAGGCATACAGTTGGATAGAAATATCATTCTGTAATTTAAGAAATACCATTCAATATCATAATTAAAGCGATTTTTTTTACAGTTTTATCATATTTTTAAAATTTTCAAATTTTTACAAAGTTATCACTTTCTCTTTCATTTTATCATGAGATTGATTATACCTGCTGCAGAAAGTCCAGAGTTTTATTGGTCTGTTTTGATCTGTCTGAAAGTGATTGTTAGTTTTCATGAAGAATGGCATTTAACCAAAAAGCATTTTTCATTTTGGTTCAAATACACATTAACTCAAAACAAAATTCTATAATTCACTTATTTAAATATATCAGGCATTGACTGTTTTGTTTGTGTGTGTGTGAGGGTGTGTGTGTGTGTGTGTGTTTTGTTTTGTTTTGGGTTTTTTTTGTATGTTTTGTTTGTTTGTTTTTGTTTATTATTATTATAATTATTATTATTATTATTATTATTATTATTATTAGTTGGATAATAAAAATTATTCTATTATATAGAAGATATTTTTACTCTTTAATTTTCAAATAATACACTACATACAATACTAATTTCATTTCTTTATATTTCATAAATTTCCCCTTACGTTTTCTTAATCAATTCATATATTTTGCCGTTAACACCACCTTAGATGCACACTCTAAGGGGACCCTTGCTGACTGGTCAAGTTTTCTAGTTATTCTAATCTTTGTCTAAATGTTCTAAATCATAAATATTTGGAAATATCACAATTGCATGAAAGTTTGTTCACATGTATCTTCCGGCGTAACAAAAATATTTTTACGTTTTGCAAGTCAAAATTAAATATAGATATAAAAATATCTATATACAGCACAAAACATTGTTAACATAGCAAAAATCAAATGTAGTCTTTCATATCTGTTTGGACTTTCTGAGTTAAGAGTTTGACATTTTATTTGTCCATCAGTAATTCATATCACCTAGGTTGCAGGTATTCTCCTGGAAAAAAAAAAGAAAGAAAAGGATGCATATGAAAGATAAATGAATTTTCCGATTACACATTTTGATGTTTAATATTCATTGAATCATCATTCTAATTATTTTTTTCTGCATATGGATTTTAAGTTGCCAAATTAGGAAAAAAAAAAAAACAAGATGTGTTTGTGAAACACTGATGCCCCCGTATGGCAGCTTATGGCGAAGGTTAAAGTTTCTCAAATGCAAGTCAAAATCCAGGCCAAAAGATACAAAATGTTGGTACCCAAAGAAAGGTCTTGTCTCGAGGAATATACCTGTGAAATTTGAAAGACCTAGCTTCACCTGTTCAAAAGTTATGGCGAAGGCTAAAGTTTTTTAAGAGTAAGTAAAACGTCAAGGTCATGACCAAGTTTAAAGTTTTTCGAAAGTAGGTCAAACTCCTAGGACAAGATCAAAAGATTACATACGTGAAGCATGAAAGCCCTAGCACCAACCATTCAAAAGTTATGGCCAAGGATAAAGTTTTTCAAAAGTAGGTCAAACTCCTATGTCAAGGTCAAAGGGTCAAAGTGGTTGGTATCCAAAGGAAGGTGATGCCACAAGGATTACATATGTTAAGTATGAAAGCCCTATCATCAACCATTCAAACGTTATGGCCAAGGTTAAAGTTTTTCAAAAGTAGGTCAAATTACTATGTCAAGGTCAAAGGGTCAAAGTGGTTGGTATCCAAAGGAAGGTGATGCCACAAGGATTACATATGTTAAGTATGAAAGCCCTATCATCAACCATTCAAAAGTTATGGCCAAGGTTAAAGTTTTTCAAAAGTAGGTAAAACTCCAAGGTCAAGGTCAAAAGGTCAAAGTGGTTGGTATCCAAAAAAAGGTCTTGTCACAAGAATTACATATGTGAAGTATGAAAGCCCTGGCTCCAACCATTCAAAAGTTATGGCCAAGGTTAAAGTTTTTCAAAAGTAAGTCAAACTCCTAGATCAAGGTCAAAGGGTCAAAGTGGTTGATATCCGGAGGAAGGCCTTGTCACAAGAAATACACATGTGAAGTTTGAAACCCCAAGCACCAACTGTTCAGAAGTTATGGCCAAGGTTAAAGTCTCATAAAATTTTGCAAAAGTGGGTCAAACTCCAAGGTCAAGGTCAAAATGTCAAATATGATGGTACCCAAAGAAAGGTCTTGTCACAAGGAATACAGATGTGAAATATGAAAGTCATAGCTACAACCAATCAAAAGTTATGGGTTAAGGTTAAAGTTGACAACAGACAAACAGACAAACAAACAGACAAACAGACAGACAGGACAAAAACAATATAACCCCCCCCGCCCCCCCCCGGGATCTTTCGATCCAGGGGCATAAAAATGTTCTTTTTGTAACTGAGGAGTTGCATTAATTTTAAGCTATTTGCGGTTTTACATTCGTACTTTTCATGTTGATTGTAGTTGTTGATTGTAGTTAAGGTAACACAAATGCATTATTCATGATCAGTGACAACAACAAATATATGTATAACACATTACGTAACTCTTGCTTGGTGATACCGTTTGAAATGCCTTTTACACTGTCGTTCTGGAATGAATGTTAAATTCTGTGCTAAATTCTATATCATCAATAGACTGCAGTACTCCTTTTTCGTAGTTGAAATGATATTGTTTGGTGAAATAACACATAACATCGTTTGTTTGATAAACGTCAGTATTCATTTACCTACAAAATCTTCGCCAAACATTATATTAAGCCCTACAAAGGTGCAGTCGAACAGTTAACGTGAGAGGGGTTATTGAAGAATGATGAGTAAGCAGCGTTAGACTAATTTCTTTTTATTTTTGCAGTACCAGTAATTTGAGGCGTATTTTTACCCAGGTTTTAAAAACCTGCCATTTTAAAAATGATACAAGAACTCTTAAAATGTATTAAATGATTGTATAATAACACGCCGGAATACCTTTTATTGAAATTATAAACGATGAAGTACATGATGACTGCTTTTGCATGTCCTCTTTTTCCAACCATGTAAATGTCTTTCCGACGTCTAACAAAGCATCAAAATGTTTTAAGACAGAAGAAAACAACTCTAGAACTCTTTGGTACAAAAAGCTCTACTGACAATTTTAAAGTCGTATTTGCATTTCGTCAGCTACTTTCATTTTTCTTCGTATGGCACCATATTTAGTTTTAAAAACTGTTTTTTAGCTTAATGTAGGAAATAAATTAATTAACTCAGTATTTGTACCGTACAGTCAACAATTTTGGTACAAATAACAATCTTAATTTATCTACTTGAAAAAATCGAAATAAACTTTTAATTATCAGCTTGACGTCAGTTGAAGACGTGCACGCTTGGATAAACTTGCAATGCGTTAGAATCTTGATTCAGGCACTTATTTTCCCAATTCTTGAAATAATTTTTATTTCACCAACAACAGCAACACACAAAATCGAAGAATAAATACCTGAAATTTCACTGTTCAGACTGTATCACAAAGGCACACATTTTCTAGCTCACGAATATAGGCAGAAATAACTGCGAGCACGTGACGTAATGTTTGGATTTATTTATTTTTTTTATTTTAAGGACATTGGCAAGGTTCCTGGTTATAGTATAGAATTTTTCAAGAACTTTTGAGTAGGTTTAAATGTACTAAACAGGCTATATTCTGGACCGTTTAACCTACCAATCCAACCTTCTTTTTTTAGATTCTGTCAAATCAGTGTTTTTGCAATTCTCAATGCATTTCCTATGTAAAATGTTGATAAAAGGGACCTACATAATTTTTCACCATAATATTTATCCAAAACCCACTTATTTCATATAGTTTTTGTATTATATACATTATTGTATCTTCATTTCCTATGACTTCTAGATATTTTGGCTGAAAATGTATATATAGAAACAGGACAAGAACATACAGGTACCGATCTTTATTTTTGAGTTACTTCCCTTAACAGCTATAATTACATATTATTCATAATGGTCAAGAGAGTCAGACTGGTTGATTGATTCTATCATGTAATTGACTGAATTGATTGAAACACATTGTCATTAAAATATTGGCAGGATTTATTCGTAGTTACTAAATGCTGCTTCCTTCATACAACCTGAGAACTGATCTCAGTCGGTCTACCTTTCAGCGTATATCACATCTTTGCCCTTTCCAGCATACTGAGCATAACTATGGTAAATGACGACCTGTTGGCTCTTTGTCCCCTGAATACAATTTACAACAAACCCATTACTACTTTTCTTTCTTGCTGTATAGATGCTAATAGATGATTCTACCCGTTGAAGGAAGTACATGTGCTTTTGTTTACCTCTGTAAACATACGCTTTATTGGTTTTCACCGCTTAGAGAATTCTACACGGGAGATCACTCTCAATCACTATTTCATAAGTGAAAAAACCATGTATTAAACCTTTTTTCTCCGGAAGACCTTGACTTGCCAATGTCCTTAAAACATAGCGATTAAATATTATAAAATATACCCACAAAATTATTTCATTATTATTTGTGGCATCCTGTATTGTAAATATTAAAAACAATTTTTTGCACGATACTTTGTCGAGATTTCTCACTACCGGATATGACGAAGTTCGAGAATTTTCGCAGTAAAACCACGTAATTTTTATAAAGAATGGATCAGAAGAGGAAAGAACACTGCATGTCCTTTCACCAGGATAAACGAACTAAACGAAAGGATTTTAT